TGGAAGGAAACTTTCTTTGTTGGTTATCAGGGGTGGGAGGGAAGGAGAGGGAACACTGTTAGATAGGTAGAGATAAGTATTGATTTGGGTGAAGAGAAGGGCAATGTACCAAATATGAGTGATCAACATGGTGGCACTGAAGAAGAGGAAGACATAGAGAGGTACATGGGAGGTACAGACAATAAAGATGAACCCTTTTGCACATTTTGCATTGTCAGTGAAGGCAAACATGGGTATACAGGTGGATAGATGGGTGGACAGGCTGAACAATTAGGTATTTCTATGAAGCAGGGAGTGTACCCAAGACCATGTATAGGGTTGGAAGACAGGTCCTATAAGTGTATTTGTATGATCTGAATTCCCAGGTGTATAGTAGAGCTGACAAGGGACAAGGCTGTAGTCACTTCTTGGTCACAGCCAGCTACCCAGAGGGACCGAGTAGTTGAACCTGTGAGCTTGGGACCATAGCCACAGGGGACATCAAGCTCAATTGGCATAACATACTACACAAAACATTGTTCCACCTACTACTTTGGCAAGTAGTGACTGGGCTCTCAAAAGCTTGTAAGCAGCCATCTAGATGCAACAATGGGTCTCTCCTTGTCCAGAGCAAAGAAGAATGAAGAAAGCCAAAGACTCATGGAAAGAATTAGTCCTAGCAAGTGGTACACCATGCGATCTGCAGCTTATATGACCATGAGACCAGAGAACTAGATGGTGGCCGGCTACCACTGTTAACCACTCGGAGGGAAATCTATGTAGGAGATCCTGGGTAGAGAGGGAGAACAATGTGGAACAAAACTCAAAATCATTTTGAAAAAAAAAAAGTGGGGGACCAGGTTTGCTGGTCTGATAGAGTCTGGTGGAAACACTGAGACTATGGCCCCTAGCAGGAATTGAACTTTTAGGTCTGCAATTGAACCCACACCTGTGGCTGGAAGCCAAACAAAAGACAGGCATATGAGTTGAACATTTACCTGAGGTACATACACTCTTTAGAGAGAACAATAATGGGAGAAAGAAGGGCTATTTATGCACAGGGAGACAGCTCAGGGGGCAGGAGTACATGGAGGGATGGACACAGAGAAGAGGTAACTATTGGGAGGAAGTGGGAGGGGAGCTGTTGCATTGGGGTAAATTGTAGTCAATGTCATGAGACAAAGTTTTTGTGAACTGCTGTGTGGAAAGTGAATTTGCTCTGTAAATTTTCATCGAAATCACAATTTTTTTAAAAAAGACTATTCCTTCCCTCATTGAATTGTCTTGGTACCCTTTAAAAAAAAATCAGTTGACTATAAATGTGAGGGTTTATTTCTGGACTTTCAATTCTATACCACTGATCTATATGTCTATCCTTAAGGCAGTACCACACTCTATCAATTACTATAGCTTTGTAATAAATTTTGAAATTGGGTACTGTGGATTTTCCAACTTTGTTCTTCTTTTTGTTTTGGCTATGCTGAGTCTCTTCCATTTTCATATGATTTTAGGCTTATTTTGGTTCCCTATGAATATTTAGAGCCATGGTGCTTATCCTGACTACACATTAGAATCGCATAGGAAGCTTAGAGAAACCCTGATGCACAGGCTACACCACAGACAAATAACATTAGAATCTTATTAGTAGGGGCTCAGCCTTCAGTGTTTTTAAAATATGCAGCCAAGGTTGAACACCACTGATTAAAGAAAGCAATGAGAAGAAATTTGGGTGAAGTTTTATGTTTTCTTGATTACATCTATTTATTGTTGTTGTTGTTGTTACGTGCCGTGGAGTCGACCTGACTCATAGCAACCTCTCCTTGGGTTTCTGAGGCAGTATCATTATGGAAGTAGATTGCCCCATCTTCCTTCTGAGGAGTGGCTATTGGGTTTGAACCGCCAGCCTTCTGGTTAGCAGTCAAGTGCCTTAGGCACTACGCTACCAGAGCTCCCGGTTATTTCTATTCTACCTTATCTCAGAAAGGAATTAAAGAGACTTACAAGGATATATAAACAAAATTAAAAGTAGAGACAAAAAAGTGGGGGGAAATGGCTCCTCCACCTGCCAATAAACCTATGCTGACCAAGATCTGAACATTTTTCCTTTACACCTATTTTTGCAAGAGTCAAATTTCAAGAAACAATTTGACCAAGCTTCTGTTGCCTGTGTGTTTGTAAAATGTATTTCTCTTTAGAAGGCTTCCTTTTTGCATTTAACTTGTTCTTGTAACTACTGGTTCTTTTTTTTTTTTTTTTACTACAGATAAATTTGAAACAAAAATTAAGTGTGGATAAAAGAAGAAAGTAAAACAAGTATACAGCTATAAAGTGGCATGAGACTAAAAATGAACAGTACGATGACCTACACTTTCTAGGCTAATGTGGAAAATAGGATCAGCATCATAATATGGTCACAAGTACAAATATTCTTGGCAAGTGGACCAAAGAGGAGTTTTCCCAGGTGTCTCACACTGATGAAGTTCTGCAAGGATATTACCCAGGCCAACTTAGTATTTGGCTGACCTATGTCTAAATGCCATTACTAAATCCAGTTTTTAAAACAAAACAACAAAAAAAAATCAAAGGAAAGTCTAAGGAATCAAAAAGAGCTTTCAAAATGTGAGGAAACAAAAGCCCTACAGCAAATCCTCTATAAAAAGTCCTAGCCACCTTGATCTATTTAACAATATTTTGTTTTATAAACGCAACTCAAGGTCACAGCCAGCTACGCAGAGGGACTGAGTAGTTGAACCTATGGGTTCAACAAATAAGAACACAAACATTGTGTATTTTCTTTTTTGTTAAAACAAAAAAAATAGTACAGCAGGTAAAACTTATTTAGATGACCACGTCTACACTGCTCAACACTTTCTACCTCCCACCTTGATTAGTTCTGTACCTGAATTTGTCCGTGGCTGGGGTGGTTTCCATGTTAAATTCAGCCACTGGCACTCCCCTCGCAGACACCTGGGGGGCAAACATTGCGGCAGGATAAACCACTGAGGAAGTTCCCACCTACAAAGCAAACAAATGGAAACGGACAAATAACCACACTATGGGAAAAAGAAACTTTTTTTTTTTTTTTTAAGAAAACCTTACATATACCCAGACAGGTCTATGATTGCAGGTGTGAGAGAAGCTAAGCTGGGAAGGGTAAATGGAGAGAGTCCATGAGACAAAGGAAAGTTAGGAGGCATCCTTTTGACTCATCACTAGAATTTGGGAAGAAATGTGGTATGAAATGAAGAGCTATGCAAATGGATAGAGTGGCCAAGAAAGGACTCAATAAGCATGTTTCAGAGGTTATTTCTGTTTTTATTTCTGCTTTTTTAAAGTTATGCAAATAATCCATGTCTTTTTTTTTTTTTTTAACTTAGAAAATCCAAAACACCTAGCCAAACTCACTGCTGCCGAGTCAGATCTGATTCATAGCGACCCCTCCTTGGGTTTCTGAGGTAATATCACTACAGAAGTAGATTGTCCCATCTTCCTTCTGAGGAGTAGGTGGTGGGTTTGAACTGCCAGCCTTCTGGTTAGCAGTCAAATGCCTTAGGCACTACACCACCAGGACTCCTCCAAATAATTCTACTTCTAGGAAATTTATCCTAAGGAAATAATTTGAAAAGTGTGGTAAGAGGTTCACCACAACCACTGTTTAAAATTTCAAAATTGGTTAAAGATATTATTTTATATCCATACAAGCAGTCATTTAAAAGATGATGTAGATTTAGATGTGTGGACAAGGAAGATGCTAAGTAAACTGCTATGTGAATAAATAAGTTTCAAAGCAAAACACAGAGTATGAGCCCATTTTTAAATTTTAACCACTACATGTAGATCTGCATAAGTAAGAGTCTAGAGAAGAAGTGGACAAACTATTCCTGATGAGCCCTGGTGCCACAGTGGTTAAGTGCTTGGCTGCAAATCAAAAGGTCAGCAGTTTGAACCCAGGGGCTACATGCAGGACAAAGATGTGGCAGCCTGCTTCCCTAGAGATTTACAGCCTTGGAAACCAAATGAGGCCATTCTACTCTCTCCTATAGGCTTACTATGAGTCAGAACTCAACTTGACAGCAACAGGTTTGGTAGGTTTGGTTTGGGGCCCAATAATAAATATTTTAGGCTTTTCAGACTATCACACAACTCAAGTCTATCATTATTGTGTGACAGTATGTAAACAAATGGGCATGGCTGTGTTCCAATAAAACTTTATTTACAAAAATAGGTGGCAGGCAGGACAAGAATAGATAATATGCACACCCATGTTCATCGCAGCACTATTTACAATAGCCAAAAGATGGAAACAACCTAGGTGTCCATCAACTGAGGAATGGATAACCAACTATGGTACATACACTCAATGGAATACTATGCAACCCTAAGGAATAACACAGAACCTGCAAAACACTGCATAACATAGATGAACTTGGAGGACATGCTGAGTGGAATAAGTCAATCACAGAAGGACAGATATTGTATTAGTCCGCTATCGTAAAAACTCAAAGAAATGTGTATATATGGAAGGAAATTTTATTAGTTACCAGGGGCAGAAGAGGAGAGGAGGGAACACTGCTAGATAGGTAGAAACAAGTATTGATTTGGGCGAAGGGAAGAGCAATGTACCAAATGTGAGTGATCAACACAGTGGCATCGAGGAAGAGGAAAACAGAGACAGGTGCATGGGAGGTACAGACAACACAGATGAACCCTTCTGCACATATAGACTGCATTGTCAGTGAAGGCAAACATTGATAGGTGGGTGGATAGATGGGTGGACAGGCTGAGCTATTAGGAATATCTGTGTAGGGGGGAGTGTATCCATGACTATGTACAGGGTTGGCAGACAATGTTTCTACAAGTGTATTTGTATGTTCTGTAAGAATTCCCAGGTATATAATAGAGCTGACAAAGGACCAGGTTGTAGTCACTTCTTAGCACAGCCAGCTACCCAGAGGGAGTGAGTAGTTGGACCTGTGGGCTTGGGACCACAGTCCCAGGGGACATCAAGTTCAACTGGCATAACATAATATACAAAAATACTGTTCCACATCCTACTTTAGGGCAGCTCTGGTAGCATAGTGGCTAAGTCACTTGCCTGCTAACCAGACGGCTGGCGGTTCAAACCCACCAGCCACTCCTCGGAAGGAAGGTTGGGCAATCCTACTTCTGTAGTGATACTGCCTTGGAAACCCAGGGAGGGGTTGCTATGAGTCGGGTTTGACTCGAAGGCACATAACAACAATAACAACACATCCTACTTTGGCAAGTAGCAACTGGGATCTTAAAAGTTTGCAAGTGGCCATCTAGATGCAACGATAGATCTCTCCTTGTCCAAAGCAAAGAAAATAAAGAAAACCAAAGATTCATGGAAACAGTCCAAGCAACTGGTACACCATGCAATCCTCAGCCTGTATGACTATAAGACCAGAAGAACTAGATGGTGCCCGGCTACCACCATCAACCACTCAGAGTTGGATCTACTTAGGAGATCCTGGATAGAGTGGGAGAACAATGTGGAACAAAACTCAAAATCATTTTTTTTTAAAAAGGGGCCAATTTGCTGGTCTTCTGATAGAGCTGGTGAACCTCTGAGACTATGGCCCCTAACTGTCCTTCAGGTCTGGACTTGAACCTACTCCTGTGGCTTCCAGCCAAACAAAAGACAGGCATAAGAGCTGAACATTTATATTAGGTAGATACACTCCTTGGAGAGATCAATCACTGGAGAATAGAAGGGCTGTGAATGCACAGGGAGACAGCTTGTGGGGCAGGAGTGCATGGGAGGGAAGGACACAGGGAAGAGGTGATGCAGGCCAGATCTAGCCCATACGCCTTAGTTTGCTAGTCCTTGGTGTAGAAGAAAACATACCAAAATGCCAATCGTGATTATGTCTGGATGACAGAATAATGGATGAGTTCTCATTTCTAATTTATAGTATTTTATATTTTCTCAATTTTTAAAGTGTGTGCCTAAGGCATTTGACTGCTAACTAGAAAGCTGGCATTCAAACCCACCAGCCACTCCTCGGAAGGAAGGTTGGGCAATCTACTTCTGTAGTGAGATGGGTCTGACTCAATGGCAGTGAGTGTATTATTTTTAAAATCAGAACCAATAACATGCTCTTTTCATTCTGGAGGGCCAAAAAACTTTGAGAAGCCCAAGAAAAAAGTACATAGTCTGATGTAGTTTTTCTTTTAAGATCAATTCTTATTGTTTCTTAATTTTTCTGTAAGATATCACAAAACCTCTCAACACACATCTTGAAAGAAAAGAAGGGAGGGAGAAGGGTGGAAGGGAGGAAGGAAAAATGGAGGGAAGGAGGCAACAAGAATGAACTCCACCCAATCCACCTCGTTTGAGAAAATCCTGAGGATTAGGAACAGCATGACTTACCACTAGACATAAGTCACAGAGGGCGAGCTCTCGTTCCACCTTGTCTAGAATCGCTGGATCCAGATTCTCTCCAAACCACACGACATGCGGCCTCAGCAGGCCCCCACACCCTGCCTCCTCACACCTGGAAGGAGGTCATCATTAACCCAATGCCAAGTCCTGCCCTGGCAGAAGGTCTGCCAGATGGGTCAGAGGATGGCCATGAGCTACCCCGAGTCCTGTGTGTCCAGAAAGATCACTGCCAAGCTTCCTTGCCCCTATACCTCCCCTCCCAGGCCCCATGAACTTGCCCTGGGTATGAAGTACGAATTTTAACTATCCTTATTAAGTCTTTATTTCAGCTTAGTGCTCTGAGTTAATTTGTCCACAAATGTGTTTCAGCTAAGCTTGATGTTCTTGTTCTAAACTGCTATCTCTTTCCCAGCAACTTCACTATGTACATTGGCATAATCATGCTCACAGTTGCCCATTCTGGGAGTAATGTTGCACTTGGACTTGCCCCCAACACCCAACCATCCTCTAGCTTCATGAATGGCCTCCTTCATCTTATCTCAGATTCACCTTTCTCACCCTGTCAATAGCCAAGTTCTCAAGTGCTAAGTATTAAAAATATTCTCTCATCTTTCACTCTCTCCTAGATCTAGGTTGTCTTAGATATACCTTCTAAAATAATCTTCTTTAAACACTACTTCCATCATATTAATCTCCTACATAGGAATCTCCCAGGACTCCGGGACCAAACTTTCAGGGATTGGTCCCTTCTGACAAGAGATAAACTTTGGCCACCCTCACTTCTAAGGAGCACTGTGGCTACACTTCTCCAAAAGAGATTTGTTTGTTCTTCTGGCAGTCCATGGTATATTCAACATTCTTTGCCAACAAAATATTTTCTATCCCTCCCCACAAAATATTCTTTCAGATTGACACTTTAGAATTTAGAAATGAAAACACTTTTTAAGGAAAAAAAAAAGGGGGGGCGAGGGGGAGTGCAGTTAAATAAGCTGGTGTAATGTTAACATATTATAGCCCCTTTTTGAAGAGTGACAATGGACTTTAGCATATTAAACACTCTGAGAAATCTTGCAGTAAAACAATCACATTTAACTTTGTTTAAGCTAATGTTTCCAAATTTATTTGAGTGTAAAACTTTTTTGTTCCAGTAATACCTATCAACATCTCATGAAACACTTGGAAACACTTTTCTTAAAAGCACCAGTTTAATGTTTGGTTTTGAAAAATTGTCATAAAAATATTTCTAGGGATTGTTTTATTTACACATACACACAATCACACAAAATTCTGTTTGGTTCTTTAATTCACTTGCAAGGCCTCTTACTACCTCCAGAAACATGGATTAATAATACTGAGGCAGTTGTTCGAACAAATAGATACTGTATAGTTTTAAATCAGGAAAGGTGTGTGTCAGAGTTGTATCCTTTTACCATACTTATTCAATCTGTATGCTGAGCAAATAATCAAAGAAGCTAGACTGTATGAAGAAGAGCACAGCGTTAGGAGTAGAGGAAGACTCATCAACAAGCTGCATTACACAGATGATACAACCTCACTTGCTGAAAGTGAAGAAGACTTAAAGTACTTATTGATATGGGTTATACCTCATAAATAAAGAAAACAAAAATCCTCACAACTGGACCAATAAGCAATACCACAATAAATGGAGAAAAGATTGAAGTTGTCAAGAATTTCATTTTACTTGGATTCACAATCAACACTCACGGAAGCAGCAGCCAAGAAATCAGATATCATATTGCACTAAGCAAATGTGCTGCAAAAGACTTTTGTAAAGTGTTAAAGAGCAAAGATGGTCACCTTGAAGACCCAAGTGGACCTGACCCAAGCCATGGTATTTTTGATAGTCTCATATGCATGTAAGAGCTAAACAATGAAAAAGGAAGACTAAAGAAGAATTGATACATTTCAGATGTGTTGGTGGAGAATATTGACTATACCACGGACTGCCAGAAGAGTGAACAAATCTGTCTTGGAGAAATACAGCCACAGTGATCCTTAGAAGTAAAGATGGAATGAAGAAAACCAAACTTCATGGAAACAATTAGTCCTAGCGACCGGTACACCATCCGATCTGCAGCCTATACAACTATGAGACCAGAAGAACTAGATGGTGCCCGGCTACCACTGTCATCCACTTGGAAGGGGATCTATGTAGGAGACCCTTGAT